AAATGATCGAATTATTAATATAAATGCTGTAGCTTAGTAATTATTAAATAGTAATTATTCTAGCGAATAGACTCTTGAATAAACTAATCTATATTCACCTTTTATATCAAAAATGTATGCCCATATTTTCTAATAATAGAATATATAATAATTGGATTAATGGAAATTTATTAATAATATTGTTATAAAATGCTTTAAGTCCGATCTATATCCTCAAGTCCTAATAAAAAGGAATATCGGTATTTATAAATATAGGAAAAACAATAGATTCAAAGTAATATATTGATACAAAATGAATTTATTAATATTGGCAATTCCCTTTCTAAGTATATATTCGCTGCTTCATTGTTATGGATTATACATTACTAGATATACCTATTGTCATATATGATATTATCCATCCCAACTATAGATTATCTGTACAAACCTATATGAATATATATACCAAAAAACTCCTACTTGTGTAACTTAGATAAAAAACATCTATTACACTTTCTGTTAATAGAATAACTTTAATAGGGTCTTTAATTACTATATATAATATTGGATAATTGATAACTAATTGAATATTTTTTTAATTATTTATAGATTCTGAATTATAAAAAATGCTTTTTCTTCAGCATTATTAATATCAAAATCTATAAAAAACTATCTCATTTTGATTTCTAAATCAGATTCTATATTAATAACTTCTCCTCATATTTGATTAATCATTAATCATAGTAATTTATTAAATGTATTATTATTATTATCCTTAATCTTTCCCAATATTCATATGGTTTTTATTCTATTTCTTCTAGGAATGCTTTATTGATTGATATTCCTCTTTCTTGTATATCCAGCAACGATTTCGTTAATTTAAAGAATTAGATTGTTATTGAAAACTATTAATATTGCTCTTGAAGCTATTACTTCTGAAATTATTATTTTTGAAATCTTTAGAATTATTTAAACTATTTTGGTTATTATTAGTATGGAATCTTTTGTATATGAATAGTACTATATCTTCTTTCTTATACAATCTCTCCCCATATATTAATAGATTATTACAATGATTGATTAAATCAAATATTTCCTTTTTGGGATCGAAATAAGTTAGATTACATACCTCACGTTTTTATATACTAATATAAGCTTATTATATAGATATGATATCTGCTGTATAACAAGATCAGTCGATACTATAGCATATATAGCTGCTTAATTATAATAATAAGACATTTATTAAATAGCTGTTTTTATATTTCTTTTTAATCGATTTGAGAGTAATATTGTTTTATTTAAACAGTATATTGCATTAATACTCTTCTCCTTAAAGTTACTCTATATATAAATAAAAGCTCTCTGAATATAGATAATAATGCTTTATAGTTGGTATAAAAGAAGTTGAGCATGTTATTCTTTAACATAATTGGAAATATCTTATATTAGCATATTTATAGGTATTTCTGTATATCATGAGATTTCATAGAATATCGAGAGTTTGAAATCGAAATTATCATCATCCCCACCATATTCTTCTTATTGATATAGAATTTCAATAAATTAATAAGAGATTGTATATTAGAATATATCAATAATTTCTTATCCCTATTATATCAACCTCTATTAATCCTTCCTATTCTTATTACTATTATTTTATTATCAGAATCTTCTTTTGTGTTACCCTTTTTATTCTCTTTTTGATTATTTTCGTTCTATTTGAGTTGTTATTAATAATCTATTAATTATTCCGAATCTAAACTTAGATTCTTTAAAATTACAATCTTTTAGAACTTCCTGAACTTGGTTTTTTATTCATATATTTATAATAGATCTACATAATTGATTGTATAAAGCTATAAATGCTTTAACATTAATTTCAGTATTCATACCCCCTCGGGCATATAATACCATACATAGCTTTTGTACATCCAACTAATGGATCTTTGTGAATTGCCCATTTATGAATATACTAAAGTTATTATAAAAAATCTTGATTAGCTTGTTATTGTTAATATTCTTATAATCGTATTGCTTACACTTGAATTTGATATATTTAATAACTCTTTAAAATCAAAATCAACAATTCCATTATTAGCCTATTGTTTCTTCAATAAGCTTAACCACTTTTCGCAATGCTCCTCTTCCTTTTCTATATATAATTCCTTACCGATAACCTTAGAGATAATTGGGGTATTGTTGCTGTTCGATATAATAGGGTATATATAGAGGTATTTCGAAGATTATAGGTATTTAAAGATTATAGGTAGATTGTAGATATGAAAGGTATAAGAAAATATATAAAAAATATTTAAATAAAGGGTTACCTTATACAACATGCAGTACAAAAATGAATATATAATGGATACAAAATCGATTTGTTATATTTAATTAGTTAATTCTTTTGAATATATTTTCTTGATACAATTATCCAAAGCATATTCTTAATATAACAAGGAGAGAAAGTATACCATACCCAGTATAATATATTTTTCTTTGTAGTCTCTTTAGAATTTCTATTAATCCTGAATATTATTTCTAAATATTTAATGCTTTCTAATAGAATCAAGATTCTAATTTGTAATATCACTAATTAGTATTGATATCAATTTGGTATTGATTAAAGTGTAAAGTATTCATTCTTATCAATATGATTGATTGTATTATTTGTCTTAATCATTATTAATTATGAGAAGCTAGTACTTGATATAGTAGAAGTGCTAGCGCTAGTGTATACGCTAGTACATACGCTAGTGCAATACAGTGCCCTCTTAGATCACATGATCGATATCCCGACAGTATATGAGTAATAGAGCTTAGAATTTAGCCCTGCCCTATTATTTTCAATAGTTTCGATTATATATATCTAATAAGAGCTAGAGAATATCAAGCTTATAAAAATATATAAAAAACTAGTTTAAAAGAAATAAAGATAGAAAAAAGTAATGTCTTTTTCTATTATTTTATTAATAAAAGAACCCTTTGTTATATTGAAGGTAATTCGGGAGGGGATAATTCTTACCTTTTATAGAAAGGAAGGGATAGCAAATTGGATTTAGGATTTTAAAAGAGAAATTGAATATTGGGATACTTTAATTGGATTAGGGGTAAAGGAAGAGTAAGGAAGGAAATGTCTTAGAGAATGAAGACTATTTAATCTCTATTTGCATTTCAAATAGAGATTAGATATAGCACCCCAGTATTCGTTTTTATTTTCTCAAATTGAATATATCTACTATAGATATCCACTAGCAGTTATTAGATTCTTAAAGCCTAGCCATTCTAAATAGTCTTGAACTGAGAAAAGGACATTAATTAAATCAATCAATCAATCAATCAATTCTTAATTCTAATCTCAATTTAATAGATAAATAAATAGATAGATAGATAGATAAATAAAGATAAAAATAAACTTGACTTGAATTACCTGGGTAGCTTGAGTAAGGAGGAGAGGAGAGAAGAGGAGTAAATGGTTTAGGTTTGGGTGAGGGGTTATGTTTATATTGAGGTTGAGGTTGAGGTTGAGGTTGAGGCTGAGGTTGAGGTTGAGGTTGAGGTTGATATTGTTGTAATGGTATAATGTTTAATGCTGTAATGCTATATTAGAATTCTAGGATTTTGAAATATTAGGATTTTAGATAGCTCGGTTAAAAGTAAGTAAGCGAGGAAAGGAGGGGGGGAGAGGGGAGAGGGGCATTGATACTTTTTTGTATAGATATTTGATGTTTGATGTTTGATGTTTAATGTGGTTATTGATGGTAATATTATTATTGATGGTAATGTTATTGTTGATGGTAATATTAGTGCAAAGGGATGTTTTAGATTGGGCTGGGCTGGGCTGGCTTGGTTGGTTGGTCGAGTAGTGTTGAAATAGAAATAGATATAGAAATAGAAATAGAAATGAATATATATATTCTTAGAAGAAGAATAAGGATTGTGAAATGAGAGAGAGGGATGAGAGAGGGGGATGAGAGAGAGGAATAAGAGAGAAGATTATAGAATGATAGTTATAAGATAGGGTTGTGAAATAAGAGAGGCTCTATTTATTAAGTATTGAAAAGGTTCGAATGGGATTATAGAGAGATATGATATATTGAGATATATTGGGATGCGTGAAGAGTAGAGATAATAATGATTGTTATATAAAGAGAGAGTAACAAACCCGTGTGCGCAGATTTTAGATTAGGGATTGAGATGTTAGGTGGAGTAGTATGATAGATAGTGGCAAGATTTTGGTGAGTTGGAAAGTTGGAGAGATGAGAGATGAGAGATGCGGTAGGGATTGGATTAGATTGGGTCTGGAGATAGGAGTTGAGAGGGAGAGGAGATGGATGGGGATGCGGATGGGTTTTTGTATGGGGTTTTTGTATGGGTATGGGTATTAGTATAGATATAGATATAGATATAGATATAGATATAAGGATTAAAGTTATATGGTTTTGGAAGCGATAGTAGGAAGAGATATGAAAGAGGAGGGTTTGGATGGGGGGGTTTTTTTTGGATATGTATGTGTGTGATTATATATTCTGTGTTGATTGCGATTATGATGGGAGATGTGAGATGTGGGAGAAAGTGTGATGAGGATAAATGAATGGATGGATGGATGCTAAGGGAAGGAGTGGGAATCATGAGATTGAGTTGATGCTTTCGGAGGTTCGAATTAGTTATGGGATTTAGTGAGTGATATTCTAGGAGATTCAAGATGTTTGAGGAGCTGAATGTTGGGGATGGGATGGGGATTTGGCGTGGTGGTTATGTTATGATGGATGATGTGACTTTATTTCTTCTGGTAGAGTTGCTTACTTGGTGGTTAATTGGTATATTGTATAATCTGAATCTTTTTGATTTTAATCTTGAAATGGAATCAGTTATATAATTCAAGATTAATATTGAATGCGATTGACCGATATGATCTGACAGTGCAACATGATTTGATGGTCATTTTATCACCCTAACTGAAATAAGGTATCCGGTAATGGAAGCAAGTTAGATTTGACTTGATCTACTACATCAACCCCTCATAGTTTACTCAACTTTCCACTCTCTTCTTTCTTCGCACTATCCATTCTCACCCCCTCATCATCCTGCTCCTCAAATCTCAAATCCGGAAACTTCATCGGCATGATCCTCCTCGGGGTAGTCCCGGGAACTAAAGCATATTTACTAAAATCGCTCACTCCATCATGCTCCCTCAAATAATCCTCATCTAACAACAAACTCCCATTTACATCCTCAGTCTTTGCTTTCACAATCGATAAGATCGCATCAGAAAATATACTCGGATGTCTCAAATCCTCATCTGCTGAAGAAAAATGCGCAGTCGCTGCAGAGTTCAATGGCAAACCGCGGGCCAGAGACCGGTAATCGCCATATTCTGGCCGATGATCCCATACGGGAGAATCCATACCGAGACCCTTGGACTAGAACACTCATTCCTACTTTCCCATTGCATAGGCTGTCTTGCCGCGGAAAAATCGAGAGTAAATGGGTGGACAGATGACGACGATTCGGGCGTTCCAATCTTGGGCTTTCCAGTGAGGAATGCAGGATTGGATGGTGGCGTAGAGACCATTGGGGTTGATGGATTCCATGAGCATGTATCGGGATAGAGGGGTGGTAAGCACGGAGGAATGGTAGATAGCGCCGGAATTGTAGATTAGTACGTCGATGCGTCCGTAGGTGGAAATGGTCTGGGATATGATAGAGGAGATGGAGGCGTGGGAGCGGACATCGCAGGGGATGGCGGTAGCGGTGAATCCGGCTTCGAGAATCTCTCGACAGACGGTGGAGATGGTTGAGGCGGATGAATTGGGATTTGGGGGGAAAGGATGGGTGGTAGAGGCGTCGCTGGTGGATTTGGCGGATACGATTACTAGGTTGGTTAGTGAGGGGATTAGGAGGGAGTTGGGATCTTGATTTACCTGCATATCCGTTCTTTGCGAGATCAATAGCGATTTGACGACCGATTCCTCGAGATGCGCCGATTACGAGAGCTACCTTTTGAGATGGCATGTTGGATTTAAATGCCTATGAATTGGAAATGTTGATTGAATGGAAATCAAGGTATTCCATCACTGGGAACAATATATGTTCGAGAATACATATCTCGGAACTTGTGAGAAGTTATGGTTTAGTGATCAATGATGAAGTTTGTTTGTACGAGTGGTAGTAAGAGATGGAATGATGCATGTGTGTATGTATGTGTACATATATGTTTAGTGATCAAGAATTCCGGGGTCGAGTTTCCTGAGCCGAGGCACATGAAAGTTGGAGCGGAGCGGCAAAGTAACCACTACTTGAACGTAGGTAGGTAGGTAGGTAGGTAGGTAGATATATTAATATCTTGAAATCACGACATTTTGTTACTTTCATTGCAATCGGAACTTGAATATCTTCATCATGCCGGGTCATATAGATTGTTATCTCGATTGCTGTAAGTGTAAAATTGTTTCCTTAAGCTTTCCCCATGTTCTTTCTCCACATTATGATGCCGTGCTAATTCAAGCCCCTTTATCAAAGCTTCATTCTATAGCTACGCAGCTTTAGTTCATCTTCGCAAGAATCGGGAAATTCTTCTTTCTCACGATGTTACGATTGAGTGAGTTTGCTTTCATTATTTGTTTTATGATGTATACATACATATATATATATACATATTTGAGAATGAATCTAACACCAAACCCACCTCAAAAGTCTCATCCCCGTCTTCCTCGGGGGCATAAATCATGGCTCGGGGAATAAACCACCATGGACTCTTCCTGCAAAGGCGAACTATAGTAAATTTGATTCGGCAAGGACGATTGAGTATCATGGATTACCGAATTTACAGCCGTCGGAGTTTTTCCCGCCGGTCACGCTTCTTGTAGGTTTTTGATTTCTCGTTTCTTAATGAATGAATGGATGGGTGGATATATGTGAGAACTTGGAGCTGATGTTGAACGTTGAATGAAGACTCAAAGAGCTCTTTGCTTTATCAAGTCTCGCTACTCTGTAGAGGTCTTTGAAAAGACATGGTTAGAGATCTTTAATGCTTTGTGGGTTCCTCCACAGAAGAACATCACGATTCCAGAGATCTTTAAAGAATTCTTGAATGGATTGGGAACATTCGATGAAAAAGAAGTAGAAGAAATCATGCAGAAAGCAACAGAGAAAGAGTGGAAGGATAAACTGTTGGGGAATACGAAAGATGCGTTGGAGAAAGGAGCATTTGGGGCGCCGTGGATGTGGGTGAGGAATGCGGAGGGAAAGGAAGAACCGTTTTTTGGGAGTGATAGGTTTCATTTCATGTGGAGGTTTTGGGGGTGGGATTTAGAGATTTGGAAATTGTGAGGGGGGAGAGGGTGGTTGGGGAGGGGAAGGCGAAGTTGTGAGGGGAGATGGAGGAGGAGGAGAGAATAGGGGTTAAGCTGTGGGGAGGGAGAATGAAAGAATGGAATTGTGAAATTGTGAAATTGTAAGGGAAGGGAAGGGAGGGGGTGCAGCTTATGGCTGTTATGAGTTCTAACTTCTTAAGCTATGCTATTTTCTAAAGAATGTATACATTTACTTCTCGATTCTGATATGAGTAGCAATATAAAACAAGAATGATATTAAGATTACGATTCTCCATAGAGTATAATGGGAAGCGTAGAGTCTACTGTATAAACGTACTCAGAGAAACACAGAACAATTAAGGAGAAAAGAATCTGTACTGTATATATAAAAGTTCTGCGTATACCAGTGCTCTACTAGAGCTGATTGAGATTTTATGCACATGTAACCATGAGAACCACATCTCCAACAAATGAATACCAAGGCAGATTCTTGACTTCAATAACCCTGAACTACTGAAAATGAATGATACGAAAATGTAACAAGTCTGAACAATCCAAAAATTCAAAGATCCAATCCACGTACTCTCTTAGATTAAAATGTTAGAACGATGCAAAGTCCTCATCCCGCACCTATGACTCGGATGATCCCAATCACGTGACACCAAGACACGAGACCTCACATGTTTTCCCCATACTTTCCCAAAAGAAGGGGTCCAAAAAGGTACCAGTCTTTAATCGAGATAAGCTTTTAAGCCGCATGGAAACTACTGTATATAAAGATCGGTAGTGAGTATCTTCAACCTTCTCTTCTTTCCCTCAAAAAATCTGCTTCCTTTTCCTTCATCAATCATGTCTTTTTCCCACTGGATTTCATCTTATTCCGATGATATATACAAATCTTGGATATCTCATTTTGAAGCAATAGAGAAAAGTTTCCTGCTGCCGAATATTTACAAAGCGTGGTGGTTGATGGATTCAGATTGAGAAGATCCATTTCAATTCCCCAAGCGGTTTCAAAGATGGATCCATCCCCAATGATTTTCTCAATTTGGTGGCTCTGGTCACTTTTTGGGTGTGGCGCTTTATTAGCGTGGTTAGCTAAGCGACCACCTTGGGATCCAAACGCGCTTGGTGAGAAATCAGCTTTACCTCAAGATGTCAACATTAACTCAGCATATCAATTCATTCATCATAATTCCATGAGAATAACTTCATAGAAAAGTTTATTCATCATTCGTTAATCTTTTCTATATTGAATCTTCGCTGCCATCAATCTTGTTGTGTGCTGTTCAACATTAACGGAACATTACTTGGAACTTTATTTACAGCAGCGCGCGAAACTATCAATGTTTTAACAAACAGTGATTTCCGTCGAATCACCATCGCTCTAAGCCATTTCTCTACGGTTCCCTTCCGACTTCGAAGCTTTATTTAAGATTGGTCCACCGCTATGCCAGCGAAGTACCGCAAATTCGAAACCTTTGACCCTAATAAGTCCGACTCGAACGACGACGATTTCTCTCCTACCGAAGCTGCTCCTCCACGAAAGTCCCCGAAAAAGTCAAGGTCCCAGCCGCAAAAGAAAGGTGGCCACGAAAGAAGACTAAATACAGGGATTCAGACATTGATGACGAGGATGAAAGTGTGTCGGAAGAATCTTTCATAGAATCAGAAGAAGAAGAAGAGGACTTTGAGATGAACGCAAAGACCGGAAGAGCTGTGCGAAAGGCTGCGAAAAAAGCCGTCACTTACGAAGAGAGTGAAAGCGAGGAAGATTTGATCCAGGAATCCGAGGAAGAAGTTCGTCCAAGGAAATCGAATAAGCGTACGCGCGTCGTAGATGATGGTGAGGAGGAGGACGAAGACGAGATCGTAGAACCCATTTCGAAGCGCAACAAGTCAGTGGAAAAGGCATCGGAAAAGGCATCGGAAAAGGCATCGGAAAAGAAATCGTTTCTGCTAAAACTCAAGATGCCAACCGGGAACACGCCCGCTCGAAATACAAGGGCAGGAAGTGCTGCAAGAACTCGAGCAAGCGCGGAACCTACATCGGCTGGACTTCGAAGAAGCACTCGCGCTCGTACCGAGGAAGGCGAAGACTTCCCTTCATTATCAATTCTGGAAGACACGTAATCCGGGCTTCGAGATCACCTGAACCGATCGGTCGCATGAGGGCCAGTAGAGGAGCGAAAGGTCTCAAACAACCTGCGACCTCTACTATTAAAGAAGAGACACACGAGACGAGCTCATATGAAGACCCGCAACTAGATGCCGAAGGCGAAGACGAGGATATAATAATGCAACCGCAGCCTGAGATAATTGGAACTGACGACGGAGAGGACGATAATACCGAGTCATTTAATCCCCCTGCCAGTGCGCCGGCCGATGATGATATGGTGGACGAACTCGCTGTTGACGGAGTCCTGGTAGAAAAAGCAGCCACCCATGATGACGATGATGATGACGAACCTGTCACAAGAACTCGTGCAAGAGCGTCCAGGTCAAGCAATGCGGGACAGGATGCAGCAGAAGTAGTTGAAACGACCGAAGATTTAGCTAGTGGTTCTCGACGCCTAAGAACTCGAGGTTCGAAGAGAAATAAAGATGATGGTAGTGACTTTACACCCGAAGGTGAAGCTTCCGAGGAAGAGATGTCTGCATCTAATGCCTCGCCGAAGAAGGGAGGAGATGATGATGGCGAGTACTCGAGCTCATCGAGACCCGGAAGGAATGCAAGGCGAGCAAAATCGAAGAGTACTTCTCGCAGACGTGGTAATATATCGGATGAGGATGATGAGCTAGATGCAGAAGAATTGGCAGATGAACTTCAAGAACTAAGACCATCTCGAAGACGTCGCAATCGCGAACCGGAAATTGCTTACGAGCCAAAAGGGCGTCGTGAACGGAAGCAAGTGGACTATACAATCAAACCAATGGATCAGATATATGCTCAAGATGATGATTTAGAAGAGTCAGCGCCAGCCCCTTCTGCTAGGGGTCGTGCCGTTCGTGGTGGTGCAAGCAAACCATGGGAACATAATTTACATGCAACTTATGGTCCTTTTGGAGGTGGAATTGGACCAGCTCCGCTCATTGGTGGCCCTTGGGGCAGCGGTGCTATCGGCGCTGATTCAGATGATAGCGATGACGAGAATATGCAACATCCAGCTGTTCCGGGCGTTGCGATGACACCCACCTCTGCAAGGCATGGATTGCTCCCATTTATGCCGCAAGCAAATCAACTCGACCAGACTCCAATCGGCGTTGGTGCACAGGTTGGAAAAGTCAAAAGCCAGAAAGCCCTCGCGGATGCAGATCCTCTCGGCGTCGATCAAGACGTTGATTTCAGCAAAGTCGGTGGACTCGAAGGGCACATTGAACAGCTTAAGGAAATGGTACAAATGCCTTTATTGTATCCTGAACTTTTCCAGAAGTTCCACGTAACACCTCCCCGTGGTGTACTATTTCACGGTCCACCTGGTACTGGTAAAACACTTTTGGCAAGGGCTCTAGCAGCGACCGTGGGATCAGGGGGCCAGAAAGTCACATTCTACATGCGGAAGGGTGCTGATGCATTAAGTAAATGGGTTGGTGAAGCCGAGAGACAGCTTCGATTGTTATTCGAAGAGGCGAGGAGAACGCAGCCAAGTATCATTTTCTTTGATGAAATCGATGGTCTCGCCCCTGTTCGATCAAGTAAGCAAGAGCAGATCCATGCTTCTATTGTTTCTACGCTCTTGGCACTTATGGATGGTATGGATGGTCGAGGACAAGTTATTGTCATTGGAGCAACAAACAGACCCGATAACATCGACCCAGCCTTGAGAAGACCAGGTCGATTTGATCGAGAATTTTATTTTCCATTGCCTGACATCGAGGGTCGAAAATCAATCATCAACATTCATACAAAGGATTGGGGAATCGATGATAGTTTCAAGACTTCTTTAGCCCAAGTTACCAAGGGCTATGGTGGTGCTGATCTTCGTGCACTGTGTACACAAGCTGCCCTCAATTCTATCCAACGTTCATATCCTCAAATTTATTCTTCCAACGATAAGCTCAAGGTGGACACCTCGAAAATTAAGGTAACGGCCAAGGATTTTATGATCTCCGTCAAGAAGATTGTACCATCGTCTGAGCGTTCAACTTCTTCGGGAGCCAAACCATTGCCAAAGAATGTTGAGCCTCTCCTTCGAGACCAACTTAAGTCTATCGAAGACATTGTTGATAATTTAATACCCATCAAGAAGAAGACGACTGCCTTGGAGGAAGCAATGTATGAACAATACGAAGACGAAGATGGAGGGTTTAGTAGAGAAGAAATGGCCCAAGAGTTTGAGAAGTCACGAGTATTCCGCCCAAGATTACTCATTGACGGTGAGCCTGGCATGGGTCAAGCGTATATTGGGGGTGCTTTGTTGAACCATTTCGAGGGACTGCATGTTCAGAGTTTTGACCTTCCAACTATATATCTAGATTCGACCAGGGTATGCATTCTTTTCCACTGTATGCTTTGATTTGTATACTGACGTAAAATTAGTCCGCGGAGACAGCTATCGTTCAGTTATTTGCAGAAGTCAAACGCCATAAACCAAGTGTTATCTACCTGCCAGCAATTGATACTTGGTATCGCACTCTTCCCGAAAATGTTATTACCACATTCCTTGGTCTACTCAATGCGATCCCATCTTCAGATCCTGTGTTAGTTCTCGGTATAACAAACACTGGCTCGGATGAGCATAATCCAAATATGCTGCGTGATATATTTGGATTTTCAAGACGCAACCGCTTCACCATCGATCGACCACAGAAAGTAAGTGACATTGTATGGCCGTTGTTTGCAAATCATTAATGAAATCCACAGGAGTTACGAAAGGAATTCTTTCAGAGCATTATTTCGTATTTGAGCAAAACACCAAACGAATTCCCTGATCCAGCCAATCGTAAGAAGCGTAAGCTTGAACCACTCGAGCTGGCTCCACCACCGCCGCCACCAAAAGGGCCTTCCAAAGAAGATATCAAGGCACGATTGAAGGCTGATCTCCACATACTGAACCTTTTGAAGGTACAAATTCAACCTATCATGGATCAAATCCATAGAAAGTACAGGAAGTTCCGAACGCCTGTTCTTCAGAACAGTCAGTTCCAGTACCTCTTTGATGAGCAAGATCCAAACTACGTCCAACCAGATATACCTCAATTCCGACCATTTGAGTTGGCTATTGATAAAAAAGGAAACAAATGTCTTCGTGAAACGGCGAGTGGAAAGATATATTACAATTTAGATACCACTACGATCGAGGAACGATTAGTTAATGGCTTTTACGCGCGACCAAAGGATTTTGTATTCGATATCAAAACACTTGTTAGAGATGCCAAGGCTATTGGCGACAAAGACCGTCTTCTGAGGGCTAAGGAAATGCTTGCTAATGTTGAAGTCGATCTTTACGCGTACGAGCATGATCCTAAGTTTGCAGATTGCGAGAACTTATACCGTCGTCAACTACAACGAACCAAGGAAATGGAGGCGAAATATGGAAAGAAGGCTCAAGGGATCGTTGGGACGGATCTAGTGCGTTCAGATATCTTCTCCGAGGAATATGGCTTGGGGTCAAATTCTCCTGGAGCGATAAACTTGAACCAAATTGTTCCTGGCAGACGCCCTGGTTCTGCTGCTCCATCTTTCCAAGCATTTAACCCCGATATCACTCAAGGAAGCAGTGAGCAAAATGCTACCATCCAACGATCTTTCATCAACGGATCTTCTGTGCCATCTCGAGCAAGTGGCGAGGATTCTTTGATGAGTGGGACAAACGACAATGCCTCGGATTATTCTCAGAGTTCTCCTGCTCTACCACGTCAGCAATGGCCACCGAAATCAGCAATGGCACCTTCGAGCATGTCGAATGTTGCCACTGGATTCAATTCTCAGCGGTCTGCTTGGCAGGAAATCTCACATGACACGTCTATCGGCGCATTGGTGAACAATGCTTCTCCAACAAGTTCTGGAAAGAAAACATCAGAGGCAACGACTTCAAAGAGAACCTCGGCAAATTGGAGTACGCAGGCTACAAACGGGACTCGCCCTGGCGCCTCAAGTCCGATAGATGGGCAGAGACACGATGCTGATCTATTGGACACACAGAGGTACTCACAGAACGCAAGCACGCAAAACACAAATGTAGCCGAGGGAGAAAGAAGCAGCAACGAGGAATGGCTTCACTCACAAGCACATGCTCTTGCGCGTGGTCATCTTGGGTTTCCATCTCAGACGCCAAGTACACGCAATTCACAAGACAAACCGCCTGTACCACCCTTCAATGCTCCTTCACGGAATTCCCAAGATAACGGGGTGACGGATGATTCGCTCGTTGAAGCCAGTTCTACGCAATCATCTTCTCAAAAGACATATATCTTCAATGAATTTCTTGCGAATGAACTACTGGACAAACTCACCGACGGATCAAGTGGTTGTTCGATTGAACAATTGGAACAAATATATCGTGAATTAATGGACTACATATGGAAGATGAGAGGGGAGTGGAACAGAAGTACAATATGTGTCGGATTGACCAGAGTATTCAATGACACAATATTGGACATCGAGGCGATGCAAAAGGTTGGCAAACCAAGTCAAGAAGACCCCGATTCACCACGTTCGACTCAATAGGAGTCGTATATCGGATAATAGCGACGAGGGGTGGGTTGGAATATTGAGAGGCTGGATGCATTGAAAATTAAGCATGGCGTTCGATAGGTTTTATTATTATTACAGGGTTGCTTGAGCAAACAATTGATAGCATAAGGAGATGTATTTTGTTGTATAAGCTACCCTAAAGAATGTGAGGGCTGAAGCTTGTTTGTTTGTCTGTGTCTATTGATTCAGTATGATATATGATTATGTTTTACGGTACTTGTTGTTTGGTATATCATATACGATCTTGTCCTGTATTCGTGATTAGGAGAATAATGAATGCATTCCCTCTGAATATTATCTGTCTACCTATCCATTAGCAGGATGCGATGCTTATTATTCATCAATCAAGTGTGAGCAACTATGGAAATGAAAAGTAGAAATTAGGTAGGTAGGTGTATTGGAATGAAGTAAGTACGATACCTATTTGTTGTATTCACAAACGTGGGTAAGGAGGGGAAGGGGGGATTGGATTGGGCTTGGGTATATGGTTGGAATGTGTTTATTGTTGGAGTTCGAGTACTGCAGGTGGTTGTAAAGGGTAGGTAAGAGGGGTAGGCAGGTAGGTATGGTAGGAGGGGTAGGTAGGTAGGTAGGTAGGTATGAACGAGATGTTGGGGACGGGATGGGGGAGGTCATGAGTGGACCCATGGGATGGAAAAGTTTTGTGTAGTGTGGTACCAGTCGCTGCGATGTATTGTATTGTGCAGATGGGTGGGTATCATTGTCTCTTGATCTCTATATTTCTCTTTGTAGGGGAAGGGATAGAGGTAGGGGAGGAGGGCGAGGTTGAGGGGCTGAGGGGTTGGGTTGGGGGGAAGAGAAGAGGGGATGAGAAGAGGTGTAGAGATTATAATCTTATGAAAATGAGAATGAAAATGAGAATGAAAATGAGAATGAAAATGAGAATGGTAGTAATGGCAGCGGAGGGGTGGCGTGGGTATAAAACCGGCTGTTGATGGGGATTCAGAGGGTTGATGATGGGTTGGGTTGAGTACCTGCTCGAGAATCTAGGATTCTAGGTGCACATATCGAAACGTACCTAGGTATATTATATGTGGTAGAGATGTTGTGTGTCTAAGCCTAATCGGTTGTATCAATGTTCGCCTTTTGGTGTAGAGAGAACTCTGGTGGATGGACAGATGAAAAAATAGATAGAGGAATTGGCTTTCTATGTAAGATCTTACATCTGAAGGCGGATCTAGTCTGAGGTACTAGAGATTCTGGGTCCACGGCCGTGATAATATTCACAGTTGATGCATGCATGAATGTATGTTTAAAGCCAGGTGTGTTTAAGATGTCGCAGTTTCATTTTAAATGAATTTTGATTTTCTATTTGATGTAAACTAATTTCTTGTTGAACTAATTTGGCACAGTTTAATGTGGTAAAACGCATGCCCTCTGCATGATAGCTGCAATGAATGGTTTGGTACCTCGGAACCAGGGACTATCTATCCATTTAAACAAAAGGTAAAAAGCACAATAGGAATGTATCGAGAAACTTCTACCACCAGGATTGTCCTCCCTTCGCCGACTCAAAGCCTGCCGCGTTGTATTGGCTTCTTCTTGGAAGACTGTATGGCGAAATCACCCGGGCTTGTTCGAAGCACCGAGCTTTCTCGTGAGCAACAGTTCTTCGAACTATTTCCCTCAATTTCCCCCGATCGTTCGCAGCTTGCTTGACAAAGGTGACAAGGTTTTCGTATCGTGTGGCCGAAGGGAATTGGTTTGCAGTTGCCAACAGATCCTTGTATCTCTTGAAAAGCTTTGCGAAGAGGACATTGAAAGTTACATCATTCTGGGGGCTGTGGGTATACTCCGTGTTGGCGTAACAACGGTACATCGTACCATGCATGTTGAGAACTTCAAGGAGAACCCGATCGGGGCGCGCCTTGGAATCTTCGAGAATCTTCGCCCATTGATGCGGTGTCACACGATACGAGCTGGTAAAATCCATATAGCGCTCCCCTCCAATATTCCAACCAGCACGATTTGGATCAATCATGAACAGTGAAAAATCGACTGCAATGTCTCCTTGATGGCAAGCATTCTTACGACGATCGATCACCTTTCTGTCGGCTGGAGGGCGGCCTTCGATGTCATGGAATCTGTCATTGTTGCGGAAACAGCGTCCTTTATGGGACAATCCGTGGCGGACACGAGAACAAGAGTTCGCGACCACTTCATAGTGTGAAATGTTTTCTTTGAGATGTTTCAATTCTTCTTTGAGAGTGGCGTTTTCTTGTCGGTTCTCGTAATGGAGGAACTGCCACCTAGCGATGATTGTTTTGTCTTGCTTCTTTTCATCTTCAAGTTTGATCACGGTTTGTTTTGAGACTTCGAGTTCGTTTTGGAGAGAGCGGTTGCTTTTAAGAAGCTGTGCGATTTCGACTGTATTATCGGGGCTCTCGGTAGTTCGGGTGAGCGAGGATGGATCTGCAGTGACGGTGATTCCCAGTGCGGATGAAATTTGAAATTTGATTCCTTATCGAAGTCAGATTTGAACTTATCATGAAAGTTGTATAGTCAATTCTTACTTCTAAGCGCTCCTTCAAATGTTTCTTCTGGACAGCAGCACTCTCTCTCTCAGTGGCAATAAATCGCCGATCGTGCTCAGTGATATTTGATGAAGAAACTTTCTTCAGTTCCTCGAGTGGCAAGGTGAAACCGAATTTGGCGTTTGTTTCTTGAATTTTTCGATTGGAAACGTCGTTGATTTCCTACAAAAATATATCAGCAAAGGAATCAACGTGCCGATTCGAAGAGGGCAGTGAATTTTCCACTTACAGAGAACATGGACTCAAGATGGTGAATAAAAGCTTTTCTCTGCTCGAGAAGCTTGCTCTGAATAGCTCGTTCAAACTTACCTCCATTGATATCTTCATACTCATGCTGAAGTCTTTGAAACTCCTCAGCGAGGTTTATGACAGAAGGAGCATCTGTGTTATGGGGCCTAATCACTGCAAGAGCAGCAGGAGTAGTGTTGTGCATGATCGCGGAACGGCACGGTGATCTTGGGAATTGAGGATTTTAGGAAAATGAAAGGTAAGCAGCAGTTGTTGAAGGAGGAAAGGAAAGAATGTTTTTGTTGGTATCAACTTGGTTGATAAGTTGTAAGTACTTAGTCTATTATGGTTGTATTCGTTCTTGATCATTATTATCTATGGGAAGCTAGTAAAGTGCTAGCGTGTACGCTAGTTAATACAGTGCCATCTTTTGATCACATGATCGATATCCCGACAATTTTGGTTGCAAAGTCGCGTGTGGGATATAGTTTTTGAGAAAACGCTAAGCGAGAATTTTATCTGAGGTTAAGTATCCCTGTAGTGGCAAAGTTAATATCTATATATAAATAAAATATCAGTATAAATCCCCATATTGTTAAAAGGAATAGAAGTTACTGGTGCTAAGCACGTGTGTAGTGATTAGTAATACAGCTACCTAAACGGGCTAGATTAGACGAACCATAGACAGGTATATTGATCCCCTCATATAATACTATGGGGAGATCAATATGCTTACACGCGTACTATATAGTCAATATAGAGGCCTCTTTCACCCAATCTTCTAATAGGTTATGAGATTCAGTTAGCATAACCTCTGGATAGAATTGACGTGATCAATATTACATCCAACTCACAAACTGAAGAATGCACGGTACTACCTTATATCTAGTTCACGGAGTTGAAGAATGCGTAGCACTACCTTACAATCAGTATACATACTACAATCGATTACCACTACTAACTTGCAGAGTTTGAAGAGTATGTGGTGTTATCTATATTTATATATTTACAAATCACAAATCTGTATAGTATTATCTATACAAAAAAAAAAAAAAAAAAAAAAAAAAAAAAAGGAAAAACTCTGCAAATTTCTCTGTACAGATATTAAAATGGACATATCAAAGAGCAAGCCAAGTGTATCCCAACTCTTATTCAAAAGATTTACAAGAGATAGTTCCAGTAAATGAAAATATAATTAAAAGGAAAGGATTGATTTTAATACAATTGAATTTACACTTCAGGATTATATAAGGAGTAAAGAACTTGGAATAGAGATCGATAATACTGAGATTTTCTTGATTATTAAAAGTGTTACAATAATATATATCAGATTCAATATTAAAAAGAAAACTATATATTTAAAGGATAAAACTAATATACTTTTATATATATATACAGATTGCTTAGTGATAATAATAAAGCATTAGTCAATAAATACGATACAATATATATATTATAGATTATTTGAAATCCAAATACTCAAGAACAAGTGATATTATAGAAACTCATATTTAAGAATAATCCAGATATTTATCTTTTTAAACCCTTAAATCAATCGGAAATAACTATCATTGAAGCCTGGGATAAGCTAAGGAATATCGATATAAACTCGATACAGCCAATCCTGTATTCAAAGATTTATATAAAGATCAAGCTTTCTTTTTAGTTCTTACAAGAAGCTTATCAATTGATTATCAACAATAATCGATGCTATAAGTATTCAAAGTATATTAACAGTTGAAAACAAGATCAAGTATCTCACAACTAAGAACTCAGTATCAAAGAGACAGAACAAGCTTATATTGCTAATGGAAAGTATATAATCCCGAATCGATAAAGAGAATGTAAAAGATCAAATCTATTTGAAAAGCAAGAATAAAATAATAATGTAAAATCCTTTGCTTATTATCTATATGAATAAGAAGGATACTTTTTATACAATTACAAAATCTCTTATTTATATAAGCTCTAATCTGTAAATACTATAAAGTTTAGTAATAAAGAGTAATACTTAAAAAGACAATCAAAATATCATTTTTTAAGAAAAGCAATTAAGCTCACCTTGTAGATAGCAAAAGTCTTCTAGTTGATCTCGATTTATCAGAAAGCAAAGAAGACTCTGATAATAAAGAGTATTATATATTCAAAAAGCTTGTCTATAAGATTATCCCTTTTTATTGATATACAGATACTAATACTTTTTTATATATATCTAATCAACTTTCTCTTTTTAGAAATATCAAGAAAATAAAGAGAAAAACAATAAAAGTTGGTAGAGGAATTATATATTATAATCGAATAGATACTACTACAATAGAGCTGAAAAATAAGGATATAGTTTTACTTTCAAAAACGTTATATGTATCGGAATTAGAAGTTAATCTCCTCTCTAACAAGAAGATCTGTAAAGTTGGACTCAAGGGCAGATTCAATTCAGATTATATATATTTTCGAAAAAATAGAATAAATATTATTAAAGTAAAAATAAATAAAGGAATTTATATAATCTCGGATATCACAAAAGAATATGAAGATATTGCTTTATCGAATATAAAGATTATTAATGATATTAAGTCAAATAAGACTATTCTAAATATCTCTTTAGATAAAATCAAAAAGGATTTAGAAACTTATTTATTATAGCACAAACAATTTAATTATTTTAATCTAAAGAAAATATAGAATCTTTATAAAGTTATTATATTGGAAAAGCTAATTAAAGGTCCCATCCAAAATCTCTATATACAAAGTTTGTATATTCATTAAGATAAAGAATCTAAGTTCAAAACAACTCAGTCCTTATAAGATAAAAAGACTAAAGCTTATTCACTTTAATATTGCTAATCTATTTCTAAGATTATTATAAGGAAACTACTATTTCCTATTAATTATAGATAGCTAAACAAAAATAAATTGGATTTTGATTCTAAAAATAAAAGATGAAGCTATACCAAAATTAAAGAAATGGAAAATCGAATTGGAACTTGATATTGATAACAAGATAATAGCTATTCGGATTGATAATGTATCAAAGCTAATTCAAATTGTTAAAGAATAGAACTCTAGGATTCAATCAGAATTAACAATTATAATATTATCTCATTAGAATGGAACTGGCCGAGAAAAACATTGGTATTATCGAAGCTGATATGAAAGCTATGTTAAAGGAATCCGGATTGCCACTGGAATTCTGGAACAAAACTATTGAATATAATATATATTGTAGGAATAGAACAAATACTGAATTGATTATCGATAATAGTATAGTCAGCTTGATCGAAGTGTTTTATAGAATCAACCCCGAATATCAGTTATTATAGAATATAGGGAAGCAAGTGTTATACATATATCAATCCAAAGATAATCCCAAAGGATTAATAATACAATAAGTTATGAGATACAATTCGAGAAGGTATCTTTATAGAATATTTGATTATAATTAATAGATATATTAAAGTATATTTATTAGAATTAAACTATATTATATCAGCAAGTCAAATAATTATAAACAAATTCAAAAGGAAGGAGATCTAGATTTGAGAATAAGGAATTAGTATTAGATTCTCAAGATATAGAAAATATTATTCCTAATAAAAAACCTAGAGGTAGACTTCACAAAATATAAGAGAAACCAGAATACCTATCTGATTTATTACAAGATATTATTATTCCTGAGATTCCAAAGATAATAATCCTTAGTATATTTAAAATAAACAATATCCAGAAATTCCAATAAAAATAGCGAAGGGAGATTATCGAGATCAATCCATCTGAGGACCTAATACTATCTTCAGGAATAATGAAAATAGAGATATCAGATATTGTATTTACAACTCAACTCTTGATCGAAATCCCGATTATATCTATAGATATAGATACTTCTGAAAAATACTCTTTTCGAAAATACAAGTGAGATATGATGGATTAGATGAGCATATCTAGAAACTGATTAGAGTAATAATAGCAATACTTATAATAGATTTAGATTAGAAATACTATTGAATATACTATAATCTCTATATTACTTATATTAAGAATCGATATAAGTATTAAGACAAAACTATCCGAAAATCTGCAAGTAATCTTAGGAAACCCTACAAATGAGGATACAGCCTTCCCTGCAGAACAGATTCTAGGAATCCTTATTCCTATTATATATTATTAAGCAATCTCGGATTCCAAATATAAAGAAAAATAAAAATAAGCTATTGAAAAAAGATTAATTTATTAATTGCAATAGTATTTGAAAAGAGTATATTTTATTGAAAGAAGGGAATCTTGTTTTAACAAAATGAATATTTACAATAAAAACAAAGAATAATAAGATCGAGAGATTTAAGGCACAATTAGTAATAAGAGGTTTTAGTTAAATTCTCGGAAAGACTACAACGAAACCTTTACTCTTATAGTACAACTTGATATGCTTTGCTTGTTCTTAGCAATCATTATAAAAGAAAACTTGGAATACTAATATTTCGATATAAAAAATGCTTTTACAGAATCCTATTTTAAGAAAGAGATATACCTTGCACTACCTCAGGAATTCAAGATATCAGATGGATATATCTTATATATATTGAGAAGCTTATATAACCTTAAACAAGTTGAACAAGATTAAAGTTAACTTTTAAAGTCTCAATTAATTAATTAGAACTTCACCCAAAGTCTCGTTAATCCATATCTCTATATATACACTACTCACCAACTCAATCTGCTAATATATATCAATAATATAATTACTTTCTCGATCTCAAAAGATCAATTCAATTAGTTTTCTACAACACTTTCATTACACTTCAATACCAAAAACCTAAGGGAGATTAGCAAGATTCTAGACATTAGGGTTATAAGAGATCAAGTAAACAGATCTCTCACATTAAACCAAAAAGAATATCTGGAAGCTATGCTTACAAAATTCGGAATCTCATACACTCAGTACCATACTAAGAAGATACCTGCTATTGATTACTTATACTTATAATCTGCTATAGAAAATAACAAACTGATTGATGTTATTGAATACCAACAAGCTATAGATAGTCTCATTCATTCAATAGTATATATAAGACCAGACATCTCCTTTGTGTTAGACCGATTGTCATAATATATAGCAAAGCTAGCAAAATATTATGGAATAAAAATAAAGAACTTAATGCAATATCTGAGAGCTACAATCACTCAGAAACTCAAATACGGATCCGAGAGAGTATAATACTAAATTATAAAGGAATATAATCTATTAATAGATATTATAAAAGTCTTTATTAACACAAACTAAACAAATGATCGATATAATCGGAAAAGTATTTCTAAGGGAGTTGCTATATTCTATAACGGATTAATATCGTGAGCTAGTAAGAAGCAGAATTCAGTAACGATATCAAGTGCTGAGTCCGAATATATATTAATGGTGATATTTATCAAGTAAGAGAAATGGTTAGCTTAAGTGTTTAAAGATTTTGGAAAGGCTAAATATGTATTTGTATATAGAGATACTGTTCAATTATTAGGTAATAATCAAAAAGCAATTGCTTTAATCAAGAATCTGTATTTATATAAACGATTAAAGCATATTGATATATGCTATCACTTTATTAAGGATCTTATTGAAAAAGAAAAGGTAATAACTAGTTATATCAATACATCAGATATGGTAACAGATGGGATGACTAAACCCTTAGCGAGAGTAGTATTCAAAAGGTTCAAAAACATGCTGGGATTGAGATAGTAGAGGTGCGGAAGATTAGGGAGATCAAAGGTGGTAACTTCTATGGGGGAGTGTTAAAAGGAATAGAAGTTATCGGTGCTAAGCACGTGTAGTGATTAGTAATACAGCTACCTAAACAGCTAGATTAGACGAACTATAGACAGGCATATTGATCCCCTCATATAATACTATGGGGAGATCAATATGCTTACACGCGTAACTATATAGTCAATATAGAGGCCTCTTCCACCCAATCTTCTAATACATATAAATATTTGATACATACATTATTGAATTCAAACTTTGTTCATCCCTAACGAAATCTATTCTTTGTTATCAACGAATATTTTCAATTCAAAATGATAACCGTTTATTATTGACATTTTAATAATAAAAAAAAAGAAAATAAAGGTTTTCCAGCTAAAGAATCTTTATGATTTTTAGAATGAGTAGATGGAAGGGTATATATATAAAAACTAGGAAAAGATCAAAGAGATGAAAAAGAGCTAGGAGGAGAAGGGAAGCGAACAGGGAAGCGAGTATAGATACTAAAGGGTAGGAAAAGGTATTAGCCGAAAATCTAAAGAGGAGGGGGTTCCACACCTTGTGTGACGATTCAGTCCCTTTCAGGTTCCTTTCTCAGTCACTTAGCTTCTAGGACCTTAGCCTAGCACGTGACTCATTGGTATATATAGTCCGGAGCCCTTACAGTTCTCTTCTTATTCTTTTCTTCCTTCTTTAGATTTAGATTCTAAGGTAGAATTGAATCCTTTTATGACAGTCCTTCACACCTTGCTACTCACTTTCAATTTGTTCTTCAAGCAGAAGCTTTATCACTATACTATACAATATAGAATGTAGTACTATTTAAACAAGAATACGAATCAATTTTAATCTATATAATTATAATTGATAATCGATTATTAATCGATTTCAATACAAGTAAGCTTTTTTACTTACAAATAGCCTTAGGCTAAAACTTTCGAAAATCAAGAAATTTCGAAAAATCGAAAATTTCCGAAAATTTCTCTAAGTCCCCTTAAAGTAAAATTTTCTAATCATATATATATATATAAAAGTTAATCACATTAATACTGTATAACCCATTTTTTCAATATAATATTAACTATTGAAATTTTTGATACAATTGACGAAATGATTTATTCGTCAACCACGGATTCTGCCACCACAGGGTATTGCTACCTATTATGTTCAAAGACGACGCACTCGCCCTGTTTATCTTGAGGGCAAAACTGAAAACTCTCATTTGGTTGAATACTAGTTGCAGTTCTGTGGTAAGTGTGTTATTATATTAACACTCTTGTTGTGTTGTTGCTTAGTGAATGAAGATAGATCCCTGGTTGATTGTTAGCAGTGGGGTAATTTACATATGGAGACATGACATACTATCACTTAGTTCAACAGCCTTGCGGTCTCACCTTCAAGTAGGTAGTTAAATGGGCTGAAGAAGAGTCACCCATAGTTGCAATTGAAATATTCACGTGTCTAGTTAATATGCGTATTATAGTCAAGTGTTGTTCTCATTCTAGAAGATCTTATTTTATCATTCTGCTGGTACAGCCATCATCCTTCATTTTCCCATTCAAAAAAAGATCAGAACCTTAGCTTCTATCGTTTGAAAGAATTAATCAGAGAGAATCTAATCGACCTCTCTATAGATTTCTTAATATTTTCAGGCTAGTTGGATCAGGATTCAGAAACCGGCTCAGAAACGGAATTCTCAGAACCTGATTCCTCAGAACTCGGTTCCTCAGAAACCAATTGCTCAGGCACCGGTTCTAATTTTGCATCCCTCTGCATTCGCTTGATATCCTGCACAATCTCCAACATTTCATTGAATGTTTTGATTTGGTCCTCTCCATCCTGCGAGTCGAAAATACGACCTTTATCCTTCGCGTTGGGTGCCTCAATCGCATCAAATTGAAGCAAACCCTGTGTAAACAAGTTTTGAAACAAAGAATCTCGAGTCTCGGAAAGTGTCTTTTCAGTAAAAGAACCAGATTCTACAAGCATAGCATGCATATTGAACATCTCATCCAGTCTTTCAGATACTTTGTACAAGTGACGGTATTCACCAACAGAAACACCATACATGCTAAGAAACATTTCGTGGCTAATGACGGGACCGCTCACAATTTCCTTCTCGCATAGAAGAATAGAAGCAAGATGTGCATCAATGTGTCCTCCGGTTGCGGCATAATTTCCATTGCGTACAAGAGTTTTCGTTGAATGGAAGATGACTGTTGCCGAGTGATGTAAAAGCGCCATCGCGCTTGATCCGCTTCATATTCTCTGCGTTTCGTGCTAAGATAGGAAGGCCGACCTCTTCGACTATAACACAGAGACGGTCTTTGTCTTCTTCTATCTGTGCTAGATCATGTACCAGTTGTCCGCGCACTTCATCAGCGTCTTCTAAAGCGTTCTTGTACTCTTGAAGAGAGTCTTCACCAAAAGAAACTTCAGATGCTAGTCTTTGAATTTTGGCTTGAGTTTCAAGTTTAAAGCGATCGAAATTTCCCTCCCATTCTTGGACTTTTCGCTCCGTAGTCTGGATTTGGAGTCTGAGAGATCGGTTCTCTTCGATTGTTGCCCTATGACTGTCTTCTACTGTCTGCGTGTCTTGACCAGATATACCACTCAGGACGTTGGAAGATTGTTCTCTGCTGATAGTTGTTCTACGACTGTCTTGTACTGTCCGATTGTCCTCACTAAAGATACGACTCAGTACATAAGAGGATTCTCCCCCATCGATTGTAGCCCAAGAGTCATCTCGATTTTGCGAAGCGTTCTCGACAAAAGGATCACCAAGTGGAGTTCCCGCTACAAAGGAGACCTGATCGCTATCTATGGAAATAGGCGAAGGAGGAGCAAGTGGTACGTGGCCTTCGACATTATCATTGCGGAATATGTCGAGTTTCTGCTTTCGAATATCCTCTTTTGTTGATAATAGCGCAGCTCTTGTGTTCTGAGCAATAGAACGCTTGGTTCTAATATACATTTCCTTGCGCATTGCTAGGTTCCTATCTCGGCTAGCTTGATCAAGATGTTCAACTGATTCGTCTACTCTTCCCACAGCAGCAAACCAGAGTTCAGCTCTCGAAATAACTTTATCATCGCGGAGATTGAAGATTTCTCGATCAATAACAGTTTCCCTGGCAATTAGCTTTTCGAAAAGGGCTTCCTGTGTATCAGGAACAGTAGAGGATCCTTGCATGCCCCCCTCGATAATTTGATTCAATTCTCTCAGATCATCCTGGTCATGTTTGATGGTATCATGAAGCTCCTGGATTTGTGTGCGCAGTTCTTCGACTTCATTCTTCATTTTCGACTCGGATGATTTGTGGTTCTCGAGCTCAGACTTGGCTTGCTCATGCTGGTTTATCAAGACGGATATGGCTTTCTTGGATTCGTTGGTTACGTAGGAGCTGGAGCTTTCGGTAGTGGGCTTTGCGCGGTTAATATTTTGACTAAGGAGGGCGAGTGGTCGCTAGATTGAAAAAACGTTCAGCATTGATAGATTGGGAATTTGTGATATTGTGATGAGGTTGAGATAGTACTTACTCTTATATCCTCTTGAATAGAGGATTTTATGCCCTTGACTTTCTTAGTGGTAGAAGGACCAAGGAACGTCATGGTATCAAGACTTTGAGTGGTGGTTTGTGATTGAAGTACAGATGTCGACGTGGTGATGTCGATATTTTGGTGTCGATGTATTGGTGTTGATGGACTGGTATCGAAGGTGATGTGAGAAATAGGAAGTTAGGTTTAGGTCTTGCATGGTTCTTAAATACTCAAGGGATGAATAGTCAACTACTACAGAGTGCTTGATGCTTTCAAGTACGGCTGTCAGATAGCAGTATTATGACCGTACCTGAAGCAATCTTCATGCAAACAGCGAACGTATAGGCTGATCAGTTAGGTAAGTCGGAAGACCGTAGAATGTCGAGAGACAGTGGAGCCCAAATTAAACTGGACTTTTGAGAATCTGGAGGCTGGGGATTAGCTAGAAAGAATAAAGATGGAGAATTGAATCCGTTAGCTGGAAGGGACATGGTAGTAGCACACTATTCAATAGCAGACATGTATTATCAGAGACCCCTTACAATTAGTCACGTAGATATTGAGCGACGATTTGTTTTGATTGTGTTTGATTTTGCCCGTCGCCATAATGCAACCGCAGATCTGTGTTTGCCCCAAAGCTTTCCACAGGCTTGTATATTTCATCCTAATTCGGCTAACCAATCAGAGCAATTCTCTGTTCAGATAACAACCAATTCTTAAAGCTTTCCTCGCTCCTGAGTCTTTGCTTCTCTAAGCCAACAATGTGATCAGATATATTTCGCATGGCAATGAGCTGTGCATCGACGATTGGGTTTTCATTGAATGCATCTTGTGCTTTAGCTGCCGATCCTAATTGTGCGAGATATTGTTGATAAATGATATCACACTGAGATCGTAGAATATCAAACCTATAATCCATTTCCTTACTGTGTGTAAGTTCGGAGAACGAACAACAGTGTGACATTGTGCCTCTCAAATCCGCTATTTCGACACGTTTGGAGCCAAGACGATATTTGCCATCTCTTCCTTGAGAAACCTCGTCAACAGAGACACCATACATACGCAAGAAAAGCGATTCATAGCCATCTTTGAACTTGTTGTGAATGTTATTTCAAATCATGAAGGCATCAGTTCGAACATTTCCACCGTGTACAGCAGCTGAGCCGTGCTCAATGGCGCTCACGTCGGTGAATTTAAGAACCATGTACTGCTGTATAGTTGCCACGATTGTTGCGTCGAGTTACTTGGTTCAGAAAGCGAAGGCGGACATTAACAGCAAGTGTACGAAGATCATGATTTGGATGATTCTTCCCATTCAGCTTGTATTCTAGGCTCTCGATCTCTGTGTATGCATCCGTAAGCGATGCCCGTGTCGATTCAAGTTCATCCTCGGTAGCGGAAAGTCCCAACACAAGTTCAGTCTTTCGTCTTCAACTTGCTCTAATCTCTGCTTCAAGTCTAAGAGTTCTTGTGATGAGGTAGCGGAACTCTCGGGTCTGTTGCTTTGAGCTTGTAATAATTCCTGTTCGGCCTTGGCAAGTTTTGATTTGAGAGAAGCATTTTCAGCTAAGACGGTGACTAACGAATGAGTGTGATCGGTGGAAGCTTCAGTGTTATTATCAATAGTAGAGATCAAAGATTCTGGGATATCTAGAAGGACTTCGATACTTTTTAAGATCTCCTGATTCATGGACCGCCAGTTTAGCATTCATTATTATCAAGCTATGAGAGTTTTTATGATACTTGCTTACCTTTTTCTGCTCGCAGTAGTAGAAATAGATCTGGACTTTTCGGCCATAAGACTCTCGACCAGACTTGTCATGCCTTCTTCCCATGCTTTGTTGATAATTTGCTCATCATCTTGCGTTCCTAGAGTAAGTTCGATATTATCATGTGTGACTGTTATCAAATTCAATTGGTGTTTGACCACCAGAAAGTAATCCTAAAAGCTCTTGAAGATAATTAGTACTTTATCGAAGTGACCTGTTGTAATCAATTTTACCTTGAACAATTGATTAACACTCTCGTGCCAGTTATCCTTCCTGGCTGCAAAACTGTTCAGTTTATGCTGGTGCTCGTAGCTGGCGCGTAGAAGATTGACATCGAGAGCATTGGTTGATTGATTGATTGATTGATTGATTTCATTTACGTCCATCTTCAGTCTAAGACTATATAGGACGGCTAGGCCTCTAGAGGCTCTAGCGGATAACTTTTTATTCTACAAAAATGGATATATACGATTTAGGGAAGTAAAAACAAATGCTGGGGAACAGTGTCCGCTTATTATACACATTGTATATAATAAGAAAATTGTGAAAATTAGAAATTGTAAGGAATCAAAGCCCTCTTTTATTTTTTCCTCTTTCCTTTTCTACTACTATTCCTTCTTCTATCTTGTTTTATATGAGAGCCCTAACCAGATGCCATACTCTTATAGCGATTTTGGTGATATTAATAAATTTAATGGCTAATTCAATATTTATTTTTGTATAAAATAGAAACTATATAGTAATCTTAAATAATAATATATTCTTGAATATTTTTTTTCTCTCTGCTTTATATATAGAACACCTAATAAAAAGGTATTGTAGAACCTCAATATTACCATATATATATTTGTTATCAAAAAGTTTGAATCGATATAAATAAATTTGATATATCCATAATCTAATTTGAGTTGAAAATATACATTAACAGTATTTCGCTTGGTTTCACTTGATAGTTTGATTTTCGATCCTATTTTCTATAAAAATAGCTTTGAATAAATCAAAGGGGATTGATTTGATTTGAGTTTATATTGATTGAGAATAGAAAGCCATTAATCTGAATCGTATTCTTTAATCATTATATCTAGAAATCCAAAACTTGTTTCGTTTGAGATAGAATATATTATAATTGTTTCTTTTGCTAGTTTATTTATCTAGTTCATTTCCTTCTACTAAATATATCCTAAAACCTAATTTAGAAATATTTCAGTTTTCTTTGTTTTAATGATTTCCACTGTTTTGATTGCTCGAATTTGATAGGCCTATTTAGGATAGTCTAATAATGTTTTTAAACAATATAGATTAATTTGGTTATCCGAATATATCTTGAATTTATTGTTAATACAAGCAATTGTACTAGTATATTCAATAGCTCATTGATATATTCAAGACTAAAGGAATACTTTAACTCTTATTTATTTCCCTTGTCCCGGCAGGCTTAATCCTATCAACCTTGTAACCACAGGAGGCTCCCATCACGCCGATAAGCGATGCACGCCCCTGGCGTGCCGAGCGGTTCCTCAACCAGGGGGCGCTCCCCCCCAAGCAGTTATCAACACCTCAGGGGCTAGTATACAGCCCTTATTAATTATAAGATCGCCTATAGGCTCTACCCTTGATGCAATTAAGAAACGATTCGAAAGGATCGATAGATAGAGGGGGAGAGATGGGAGGTGATTGAGGTATTCGCGGTGTTAGTAGATAAGTTTGCATAAGGATTTCAAGACCAACAACACAAACTCACCGCGAAGTTTAAGAGCACAATCATTTCTGCTCTACTAGAAGTAACGGAGATTACTTTTGATCAAGGGAGAAAGCCCGTAACGGAGCAATTATAGCCAGAAAGCAATATGCAGAAAACCTATACTGATGTACTGAAAACTCAGATAAGGCCTGAGGCAGTAAGCCCTATTACAGGCTTTACTAATATAATACGCTCTGCTTTTAGTGGAAGCACAAACACTAATCGCTCGGGAGCACACAGACTCAAAAGGGAGAATAATTGGATCGAGAAAACGATCCTTATAATAGCTGGCGGGGAAGCTTTGCTTTCAGAGACTAGCCCATTTCTATTAAGATTCAGAATAAAAGAGGCAGTTATTGGGATCACACTAGTAGAGATCCTTTTTTTTTAAGGAATAATATAGGCTGGATATTAAGGTACAGCTCTAGTACTAGTTGGGAGGAGATTATGAAAACAGAAAATATCGAGCGGATATTTAAAACCCTTTATACAATAAGTATGTGTAGATTAGAAAAATGGGTTATATATGCAGTCCTACAAGTATTATACGATTTCTATCATATCGAAGGTGCTCCTGCTTTTATACCTATTGAGCTTATCAAGAAGAAAATCACAGCTCAAATTGGTAAGTAGCCAATCAACTACAGATTGGCACATAGCGAGATCAACCCGATTATTAAAAAAGCCATTTGGATTATTGGCTTCAATATTGTAGTATTGCGGTTTCGACTATTCAATAACAGCTCCTATTCGGTTTTCCTAGACAAACCTCGGGAAATTCAACTTCATAGTATTGGCTACCTAGAGTATTGTAACCCCTTCATCTGCAATAGAGCCTCAAGATACTCGATATACAGTAAACTAAACATTGAGTATAAAGATATACTTATATATTAGCAATACATTAGAATAACTCAATACACTAATTATCATAGGTTCTTCCGTGCTGGCTATTCCAACTATCCAGCTACTCCTAAGGTTTACACTAAATGACAAATCATTCTGATTACAAAGGAATTGGTTGCAATTAGAGCTATTAGCAGAAAAAACTATGAGATATTGTATAGAGTAAATACAGATGAAGTGGATCACATTCTTGAACCACCTTTGCCTTTCAGAGTAATAATTACAGAAACCCCGATCACTCCGGGGGCAAGGATTATAGTATATAAGAATGAACACTTCAGCAAATGTTTGCACAGGCTTAATACAAATCTACTAATCGCATCAATCATGTTATACACATATCCAGCTTGTAGCTAAAGCTAATAGAATCTCAATATAAAAGCCTTAGCAGAAAAAGCCTTTATTTCAATAGATCTGAAGATAAATAATGTAGAGATCTCTATAATGGTAGATATTATATCTAGATCCTTTTTATAAGTAATACAATCAATAAGTATACTTAAAGAAACAAAGGTCTCATTATCGCTTGAGTGAATGTAGGCCGGGGATATGCAAATTATATTACACTATTATAACTAATAGTTAAAACTCAGCTGGATGTGATCTGTTTACAGGAATCAAGATTATACTAGAATTTAACCATACAAAATCACAATGTATATAATTGATATCAACTAATCGATAATTGAAACCTCTAGGAAGACTTAAAAGAGAACAAACAAGGCCCTTAGATTATAACATATATACAAAAAGATGTGTACTTAAAAGTAAAGCAAATGGATCAATTCGAAAATAGAAATCTACTCTGAATACAAGTCAATGGATACTCGATTTTGAATATCTATAGAGCTCTGTGCACTTTGGATATTATTAATTATATTATATACTTGATCCCAAATAAGCATATGATTATAGGAGGGGACTTTAATGCAAAGCATGAGCTATGGGAATTGGGGGTGATCGTAGCTAATTAAGAGACGCAGTTTGCAATATAGATAAATAAATAGGGTATGGAGTTATAGATACTCCAAACATACCTATTCACACAAGAGGGTATGTGCTAGACCTAACCTTCTCCAATATATTATTCGCTTATATAGAAATGCTAAAAGAATTTCACTGTGGATCTGATTATACTACTCAGATTATCAATCTAGTGAATTGTGGAATAACAGAATGAGATTAGTACCACTATTGGATAAAGGAGGCGGATTTGTTAAGATTGGGTGGATTAATGGCTAATTAGCTAGCCTATCTCAATAATATAGATATTCAGACTACAACCGAGATTGAGATCTACATTAATAAACTGGCAAAAACACTAGACAAGTCAATCCGAATGGTTAGCAAGATCAATCAAAAGGCAGGGAAAGCTTTGTTATAGTAAACGGATAAGTATAAAGAAGTTTATTGAGTATATATAAAAATACAAAAGGGAATGGATTTGGAAAGGAAGATTTATACTATATACTTTTTACAAAAAGTAGTACAACAAGCTAAAAGATTTTATTGGGCTATATGTCTAGATAGGATCAAGGACGATAAAGAACTCTATCGAATTATAGGATGGCATAAGTTAACCCCTAAAAGTAATACAAAATCCCTCTCCCTAATAATCGGTAAATAGGAGATTTGTGATACAAG